TTCTAGAGAGATTATTATAAATTCTTTTGCATAGCAACAAAGAAAAGAGGCACAGATGGAATCATCACTTGCCCACTCATTTAAGCATTTGTTTCAAACAAATCCACAGCAATGAAAAATAGTGGGGGAAGGGCCCCCAAATTTAACGTGTAAAGAAAGAAAAAAATATCAAAAGTATTTTAAAATGCAAGGTCACAATACCTTCAGCAGTCAGGAATTAAATATGTAGTATTTTTGGAGTAGATCCAGCTCTTAAAATAAATTCTTATTAAATGAATGCACGAAGCAAGTGAGGCAGTAATGTCTAACTGTATAACATACTCCCACTACTTACTGTCCATATGCAATAGGTTTCTTGGGCACCATGGGGATATGTAAAAGACTGGCACTTCAAATAAGTTGCATTTCTGAATGCAATCATTATTGCTTACATTCAAATTAAGTATTTTAAATGCCTGAAACTCAGAGGGATTGAGGTGGATATGTTGAGTTCCTCCTTCCAAAAATTGAAAACAAGACACATTCTATAACAATATGAAGAGAAAAAGACTCCAATTTCACAATATTCTGAGGAAAAATCAGAAGATTTTCTGACTCATAATTTAGTTAATTAATATCTGAAGAACAACCATAACGTTTTGACAGTTTACAGATTGCCTTTGTTCTCTCAATAATTTTGCTGTCTCATTTGGCTTTCTAGTGAAATGAAGCAAATTGGATATTAAATTGTTTTCATATATAGGATGTAAAATACTCAACCACTATTATGAAACTGTGGATTGTTCTACTCCTTCTGACATCTGATAATTTTCAGGTACTATTTTTTGTCTCTTTATTCCAGTGCTGTCTCCCTCTGCTTCCATTCCATAAACGACTAATTCTTGGTTTGCATCTATATTCCTTTATTCCCGTCACACACAGGAAAGAAAAAAAAAGCTCCTTAGTCTTCAGAGGTCTTTCCTACTATACACTGAATATAATACTGCTTTATGAATCTTTATTTCACTGTGTCCAACCTATGCTTCAGAAGGCTGAAAACAGATGTATTCGCATTTGGTTTTAATCTATTTCATGCTGCTCCGTTTCTAAAAGATAAGGACCAATTTCACAGTTGATAAAAAACACAAATAACAGTAAGACACAATATTCCCCAAATAATCATCTGAGCATCTACAATAGTAAAAGATTTTTCTGTCCAAGTGAAAAAAATACTTGATGAGCCTAATAATATTGTAGCAATGCACAAGCTGCCACCTGGGAGATCAAAATTCAAAATTGGTCTGTAGCGCAGGGTCTTAGCTTATGAGACTGGGTGTGCAGTAAAGAAATGAAATCAGTCTCTGGGGAAGAGCTTCTGCAGATTGTCACTGGCGTTGGTTACGGAGAAGGCAACACAATTTCGCGGATAAAAATAACATACAGACATTCCAGCTGATCAGAGAAAGGCCTTGGAGATAAGGTAGAGGGAGGACCTTTGTACAGGGAGAAAATGATAGCAGCCTTAAAATTCTTAGAAAAACTACTGAAAAATAAACTGCAAAAAGGGTAATATAAATTATGAAATTAAGGCTAGGTACCCCTTTTGCACATTTGTTAAAATGTTAAAAAAAAAAAGATAAAAGGTTTCCAACAAGCCAGTTGGAATCAACAACACATTCATAAAAAAACTCAAAAACTATATGTGAAGGTTCCTAAGCAAATTAAGCATCTTGTCTGTTGATGGCAAAAATAAAATTTTTAAACTCAAATATATTAAAAATTTTTTTCCCAAAAGGAAAATGCAAATTCAGTTTTCTGTTTTTTTTTTTAATTTAAATGAATAATATAGCCATATCAATTCATTCAACTTGTAGTTCTTCCATTAATTTTAGGCTTTATTATTTAAATACATACACACAAATCACATTTCTATGAGGAATTGCAAATGAAAGATAAAAATGAATGAGGTCATTTGTAATATAGTTTATGAAATTATTTTTAAGATAAAATGAGCCCAAATATAAAATTTGCCTCCATATGGTAGAGTCTTTTTTAAACAATTCTCAAATTAATTCTTTTAATTGAATTTTTATATTTTATACTTCTTTTTCTGAGAGGCATATGATTCTCTACCAGTCTCAGAGAATTAATGCCCATTTTCTGTTCTCTGTTTCTAAAGAAGCAGAGCACATGAAGAGGCGATTTATTTATTTTCAAAATGGACAAGCAGGTTTTGTATACTTATTTTAAAAGGATAGTGTGTTATATTTTTAAAGATATTTAACTTTTATTATCACCTTTAAACAAAATCTCACAATAGAACCACTGTTAAAATCAAGCATAGTTCTCCTAACAGCTATCTAAATCAGAAGCGAGTTTGACAAGAAATAAAGTATTCCCCTGAGCAAAAACTACATTTTGGTAGCGATAGACTACAGTGATATAAAGTTCATCACCTTGGCTTAAAAAAAAATCAAGCATAACTACAGTCTGGCATTTTAGGACTATGAACTCACCTGTGAATTCTTTATTGCTCTTTGAAGGAAAAAATACACAAAGTTCATTTAATATACTTAAGTCACCTTGGCACTTAAACTTAAATTGAAACTGGCTTTCTCATTTGATAAGCATGAGAACAGACTTAATAGATGTTTAGTAATAATCGATAGCATTTATTGAGTGTCTCCTATGAACTAGGCAGTATGCTGGATTTTATACATACATCATAGTATTTAATCCTCAAACCACCACAAACTGTAGCAGCAAAATGGCGATTTAAATTCAGATCTTTCTGACTCCAAAACCCATGATCTTTCCATTCTGCCATACTTCCTCTTATAAGTCACAATTTTATAAAACCTTTATGTTAATCAGATTTAATTTTTTCCGTTATCAAACTTAATTTTGATTACCCCTACAGAATTAGCCTGAAGAAACTTAATTTAGGTAAAAATTGGTAAGAAGAAATTAAAAAGGAAAGATAGAATAAACGCAGAACTGGACACAATAATCTAACAAACTAGGAGAGAGGAAATAAACCTGAGAGAGATGTCCTGGCTGTTATCTGATCAACCAAAAAAATGCTACTGTTAATCCTGTTAGAATAAGGTGTGCAAACTTTTATATGTAACCCAAGGACTAGTTAGAGCCTTGCTCCTTAGAAGCATCACATAATAAATTATTTATATCTGCTGCTGTTTGTAAACTGTGTTTTCTCTGATAAAAGAAATAGGCACTTCTCATGAAAATGAGTTCTAATTATTTATTATCCCTAGTATTAGTACATAAGAGGTTCTCCAAAAAAAAAAAGATTGCTGAAGGAATCAAACACATTAAGAACAAACAAATGTCCTTTAGCTATTTTTTCTGTACTTGAGTTGTAATTTTGAAATAATTACAGATTCACAGCAAGTTACAAAAAAATAGTACGGAGATTCCAGGAACCCTTTATCCAGTGTCCCCAGATGGTAACATCTTACGTAACTATAGTACCAAACCAGGAAACTGACATTGGTACAATCCACAGACCTTATTCCAATTTCTCCTTTAGCTACTTTTTAAGAGCGTGCAGTTTTTGTGGTGCTAGAAAGGGCCTTAGACTCTCCTTATTTTTGTGATGAGAAAACAAAAAGGGGTTGAAGAGGCTGAAGGACTACCCAAAGTCAGAGTCCTAAGAAGTGGCAAAAAGAAAGCCAGTTCTGAGAACTCATCTTTCCTCAGAAAGAGAGTATGCATCCGGATTAGAGGCATCCATCAGAGTTCCATGAGGAATTCCGTAAAGACCTTCAAAATATTCTTATTTCAAAGTTATCTCATCAGATGGATGTGTATTTTTTCACATATTATTTTTCATCTCTCCAGACCTCAAAAAGCTTTCCTTGTTAAAAAAGTTACCATTATTGGTCTGTTGAAAAATACTTAGAGTTTTATTGCATCTGTAATATGATAAACCAAACTCAAAGGAAAACTAGGCCCTGCTGGTCACCACTTGAAACAACAGGGTGACTTGCTTCTTTGCCTTTGAACTTTGACCCCAGTGCAAAGCTGTGTCTGGCAGAAAGCAGGCTCACAAACACTGAATGAATGAGTGAATGAATGAAGGAACGAACCAACAACTCAAGTGGGATGATAAAATATACCAGACATTTCAAATTACTTAAAAAAAAAACCAAAAAGCCCTCTGCTTGCTAGTAAACTGAGATTTTTGTGCAGAAAAATACTTTATTTTGTGGGGTAGTTTTCATAAAATCACAGCTGGAAGAGTCCTTCGAGAACATCTAGTCTGGTAATTTTCAACCCTGGTTACATGTGAGCAACACCGGAGACATTAAAAAACATGCCAAGTCTCACCCCACACCCGGGATGAGGCCCAGGCATCTGCATTTTATTTTTAAAGCTCCTCATTAAAAGCCCTTTATTATGAGGGTGATTCGAAGTTCCTTATTATAAAGATGAAGAAATTGAGGCCTAGTCAAACTCAAATGTCTTAATCAAGACAACACAGCTAGTTAGTAATAGAATTGAGCCAGAATCCAAGTAGTAATAGCACTATTTTTTTCTTAACATAATAGATAAAACAACAAAATCTCATTTTAACTTTGAAACTGTTGGCCATTTTTTAAAATGTGAAACTAGGCCAAAAAATCTATCAACATTTGAACTCTTTCTAGCGTATAGTCACTGTCATGGGTGGACAGACATACAGGTTTGAGGCACTGAGCAGTTTTTGCCAGAGATATAAAAAAATGAGGTGTATGGTTCGTGTCTTTTCAGTTAACTGCTCACCCTTAGCAATTAATACTCTTGCAGTTCTCCTAATTGGTACTGTGATGGGCCTACAGTGGATGTCCATCAAATATGTCTTGATTTTTTAACAAAAAGAGGTACGTGTATAGAATTGATGGAACTGACTAGATACAAATATGAATCCATAATATTTGCCATATTGTTCATCAGATCACGGAGGTAATACAAATTTTTAACTATTTACTAAAATCAAATAGCGACATTTAAAAAATTACCTTTAATCGAATCATTTTCAGCTCTCATTATGTCAATGAGTGAACTCTCCAGTGAGTGCATGTCAAATGTCCTGGGACGATCCTGTAAACACAAACAGCCACAAACCACTTTTAAAATAGCATTTAATTATAAAAGAAGACAATAAGCTGCATTCGATAGGACACAGATCAAAAAGTGGCAATTTTACTTCCTCTCTGTGTAAGGCACATTACACTCAGCCTCTGTATGGGCGGGTTCTGCATCTGTGGATTCAACTAACCATGGATGGCTGTGTCTGTACTAAACACGTACAGACTTTTTTTCTTGTCATTATTCCCTAAACAATACAGTATAACAACTATTTACATAGCATTTACATTAGGTATTATAAGTAATCTAGAGATCATTTAAAGTATACAGGAAGATGTGCGTAGATTATATGCAAATATTACGCCATTTTATATAAGGGACTTGGTATCCGCGGGAGTCTTGGAACAAATCCCCCTCAGATACTGAGGGATAACTGGACTACACGTTATTTTTAACACTTAGAAAACATCAAAACCACAAAAGTAAGCACCCAGGACTCAGCAAAGAGTGATTTGATTTCTAATAATAATTTCAATAAAAACATTACTTTTACTAATAAAGCAGAAACAATTAAAACTAATTTCCATATAGTTAAGGACGTTAAATGTAAAAATAAAATTCATAGTCTTTCTCTGACACTTAATATTGCAGTGACATGGCAAAGCTTTCCAAACTTGTTCCAGCAGTTATCTAGTCAAGTGGCATCCACATGTGCTATTTAGAATAGCTGTATTTTTTTACAACCCAAGGTTTGAAAACAGTCATCAAATGTCTGTAAGACCACTAAGTGGCAAAGTATTCTTGATTTTTCTCATTAAAATTAAAAGGAAGAAAGGGTGTGGAGAACACTGCTGGTCTAAACTCTGGCTTAACAAAATGCATTTCAAGAGTGGGTGAAGAATCTTAAAATATACAAGGACCCAACTGCTCTGGCATTCTTCTGGATAAAAAGTACTAGCGATAACTAAAACTTAAAGTTTAGCTTGATTAAGTGAAAAGTAGGAGATGAAAACACTTTCAAATTAAATTCTGAGAGGAAATAGTAAAACATGTTTCTGACTCATCTTAAGAATAAACATGTACACACACAAAGACCACAGCAAGAATATTAAAGAAAAAGGGGCTTCCAAAGGAATTTGAGAAGAAGGCTTATATAACCTTTTCTTCAATTATGTTTTCTCTTACATCACTTTATAACTCAAAGCTTTGGCTTTTTAAAAAAATTCACCTAATTTTACTCCCCCGTTTTTTTAAAACGTTGAGATCTCACTTTTCTACTTTCCTAGATAACTTCTAGAACCTTAAGGCTGATAGAGGATGTCCTCCACTCAAGAGAGAGCACTTTTTGATCAATCTGACATTTCTCCTCCGTCCTCCCACAACACCACTCACCCAGTGCTATTATTAAACTTCCCTGAAATAGGGACCATTCCTCCTGACCCCACCTCACCACCTAGACATTCAGTAATGTTCACCAAGTGAACTGTTTTATGACACAAACTTGTTTACCTCTGCAACTGGAGGAGTCCTAGGGCAGTTACATTTGGATATAATCCAATATGTAAAGTAGAGAGTATTACAGTTTTTTCTGGGGTGGTGGGGGGATGAAGATGGTTTGGAGAGCTGGTGCTTAACATGCTTAACATGCTATGCTGCTCAAAAGCGGTATGACTCACTCTAGAACATCTTGCCCACTTTTCCTCCTGATTCTTTCCTAGTCATCCTCACCTCCTCCACACGGTCTATAGGGAGGCAGGAGGACATTGGCCAGAATTAGAATTTCTAAGGGTTAGCATTCACAAAAGGGAGAGACTGTTCTGTTTTTATCCTTCCTTACCTCAAGCACTGAATTAAATCAAAACCCTTAATGCATATTCTTTTGGAGACAAAGTGGATTTGAGGCATAACTTGAGAAAGATGTTAATAACAAAGTCACACTATCTCATTCTACAGGAGCTGATCTGTCCTCTTGTCAGCAGACTATGAACCACACTCCTCACTGGGCCACCCACTATCTCCATCTCCAATGAATCAGTCTTGGAGGCAGTACTTCCCAGTGTCTCAGTTCACCTGCCTATGTTCTCTGACTGCCAGCTTCCCGAGGGCAGGAAGTACGTCTCACATCAAATGTTCCCACTGCACATAACTCCAAAGGGTGACTGTGCCGAGATATTCATCTCCTCAGCCCACAGTAGTGCCCAGACAGCCCGATGTGGCAGGAACTCCCTAGCAGATGATTTCTGTTTCAATATTCTCGTTTTCTATGTGTGCCATGATGTGAAACAAGTTGAGAAGTCTTGTCCTACACTTCTATATCACTGTGCCTCACACAGGATCTCACAGGTAGAAAGTAAGCATATGTTTGCTAAATCAACGAATGAATGAATTCCTTCAAGTAATTTTTAAATGGTTAAAATATTTCTTCTCTCCTACTTCCTTATCTTAGGGTTTATTTTTATATTTCCCCTTTCTAGCTATAGCGTTGCAGGTTTTCTTTTGCCAAAATAACTGTAATGGGTGGGGGGTCCTCATCTTATTTTTTTTTTTTATGTAACTAAAGCAGTAGCAACCTTGTGAACTTCCAGAACTTGCATTTTGCCAATCACCAAAAGATGAGAGTACCAAAGAGAAGCAATTGATAAAGAATATTACATAGTGTTTTTTGGTTTGTTTTATGACAGATGTTTCTAGCAAGTAAAGAAGCTCCTTTTTACCTATAAGTCTCTAAATGTGGTACTGGAATTTAGCAAAGCCACTTCATACCCTCCTCCCCAGCATATGACCTGGAACATAAAGATTTTTGCTAAAATAACAACCACTGACTTCACATTGGTGGAGTACATTAAAAGTAAAATGCTAACTGAAATTTAAAAATTTCAGCAATGTGCTATGAGATAAAAAGAAAAACAACTCTCTATCCTTTTTACACTTATACTAACTTTCCTTTCATTTGTCATGATTTAATACAAGGATGACAAATACCAATACACAAACTCTGATCAACTGGTCTTGCCTCTCAGATGCAATGTGCTGAGAAGGATTTTCAGAAGGAAACAGATTGTACGGATTCAGAAGGAAACAAGGTCTCAACGATTGCTGATGATTACTAAGTGCAAGGCATTAAGACTCAATGGCAAAGGTACCACATTCTTGCCAACCCTGGCCTAATATCTACTCCTCCCCACAATCTAAACTTATTAGCAATTATAATTATTATAAACTATTTTACATTTGTATAACATTTTATTTCCTATGATGCTTTGGTAATTCAAAGACTTCAAAAGTCACATATTTTGTCAAGTACATTCTGTTCTCAGGGAGGGTCCAAAGTTTATCATACTTGATTTACTCCCTCACTGATCTTTTCTGTCCATTTTAAATGTATAATTAAAAAAAAAAGAGTAAGTGTCTGTGCCATTAGGAATTAGGTGGAGGGGTAGAGACACACATAAACCCAAGAATAAGAACAACACAGACAATGCTGATTTTCCTACCCAGCAACCAAAGTGTCAGATCAAGAGTGCTTTGATTTCCATATTTCATTCTTCCATTTTGCCTTTTTTGGATCGCTAATTGGGCCAAATATCATAACCACTGATCTATTTGCTAGGATCCATTTCCCAGAAAGTAAATTAACTCTAAAATAGAAACCTTGTTAAGTGACAGCTCTTCTTGACTGAACATGAGCTGATGACCAAAATAGGAACATCAGCATCAATCAGTGGAACAAGCATTAGACACTAGGAAGCCCCAACTCGACAGGAGTAGAAGTGGTAGTAATAGTCATAATAATAGCAGCAGCTAACATTTATCCAGCTCTAATGCTTGACATGCATAATCTTATCTATTCCTCACAAAAATCCTATACAATTAGGTATGTTCAGTTATTATCCCATTTCACAGATGAAGAAACAGAAGCTTAGAGTGATTAAATAACTTTACCAATGTCAAGTAAGTGGAGGAGGCAGAATTTGAACCCAGGCCTCTGACTCTAGAACATGTGAGCTTAATAATCATGAATGAAAATAAAAGAGCACCAATTATTTTCAAGGCTCAGCAAAGCAAACTTGATTACAATGCTTAGACCTCATTTTATTTTGTAATCTTAACTGTTATATTTAATATATTGAGTTGCATGTCAGTAACTGGTTGGTTTCAGTTTCTGTCATCTCTACTTCACAGGACAATTTCTAAAGGAAAAACCATACAAGCCACTATGAAAATCAAAGTTGATGAAAATAACTTTCTGAAAAAACAAATTACTATTTCAAAGAGCAGGACCCATCTTTTTATTATATACATGAATAATCCTGACTGTCAGGGCAAAATAGAAGACCTATATCAACATATACTGATGACATAGCTTTTCATAACATTCCAGAAGTAGCCACAAGAAGCACATGAACCTGTTGGTCTATTACTAACAGAAAGAACAATTAGAATGCAATTATGTCATAAACCAAAATCATCATTCATGGTTTTTTTTTTTTTCTTTAACATCCGGATGGATAATCTAAGCTGGTGTTTCTCATACTTGAGAGTACATCAGAATCATCTGGAGGTCTTAACACAGATTAGTGGGTCCACCCCCCAAGTTTCTCATTCAGTTGGTCTGAGTAGGGTCCAAGAATTCACATTTCTAACAAGTTTCCAAGTGAAGCCAAGGACCACACTTTGTGGACCATTAAGTTACGCAATTCCATTCAACAGGTTAACTTCATTAGATACTTGGGGGTGTGATTTGTAGTTACATCCTGGTTGCCCAGCCATGATGCAGTACAGCTTAATTAAATATTCTAAACGGACCATTTTAAGGTCTCCTTATGAAGAGAAGGCCTTTGCTTTCAAACCCAAAACAAAGCCCTCTCTCCCAAGCTCTAAAATGCATAACCTGGAAAAAGATTACAATCAAGTTCAATTTTGACAAATCAAGCACCACAACCATTCTATTATTGGTTCTTGTCTTTTATACTTGAGTTAGAATGTTTTGATATTACTAGACTAGGTCTAAA